GCTCCCAGTAATGTAAGGAAGGATATGGCGTGGTTCTTCTTGTAAAAGAATAAAACAGAAATTACAAAAGAAATTAGACAACGTCCGGAGGAGTCAGGCTGATCCAGGCTAATATCGTTCGAATGTCTTTTATTAAAATGAAAGCGTGCTGATAGGGAGTTCATCGCTTCTCGGACTCATGGAAGCCCCTGGCTGCGGGATCGGTTCCCTGCCGACCTCCTAGAAACCACTGCCAACTTTACCATACTCAGTCTTGTCATCGAAAATTATTTTCCCCCTATAAAAACTAAAGTCGCTAGCCAAGATGTGGAGCAAATTCTCAATTTTTTCTGACTCTGGTGAGTCAGTTTCCCGTGTGAAATCGTATCGTTGGCTGTAGCTCGCACTGTCGTATAGAACGGAACGAGACATATTGAGACGATAAGTCAAGTCTGCGTCCAACCTAACAAGAACATGGAGATGTTGCGGGTAGAAAAATAGGATGGAGGACGTCATCTGCAGTTGTTATCTCGAGAGGCATTACTGTGTGTTCGTAGTGTTGAAGCCTAGTTTTTGAAAGTATCTTGAAAGTCACATATTTGCATCTCAAGTCTCCGATGCTATACATCGACTTAGAGACTTGAACGCGTGGTTAGAAAAGTAAACCAACTTCTTACGCCCCTGTCATTACTGTATGTATAGAACGCGTGGTTAGAAAAGTAAACCAACTTCTTACGCCCCTGTCATTACTGTATGTATAGGCAGCATTCATGAAGTACGTAACGCTCTAGGGGAGGAAATACGGTATGAGCCTGCGTTACCAGAGGGAAGAGAGGCTAGCTTTAAGTAACTCTCTCTATTGGTAAAAAACGCACAAACCGAAAATTCATTATCTTCATTTTTTCGACGTTTCTCAAATCAGGGTTTTCACTCAAAATTCTGAACGAATTCGATCCCTCGACGGTTTGTCCCTTGCTTTGTAACAAGATTTCTATCATGATGCAAAGCGCAATCGAAAATATTCAGTAGTCGCCCAACGGGCCGATTATTGAAATTTATAAACAAAGCTATAGACAAAGAAGAAACAAGAAGTATAGAGCGATCCTGGTTGAAATGGGTGGTTCTTATAGACTAAGGTAGTATATAATGGACTAGCTATCGGGTCTCTCGTGGGTTTCCGTTAGTTAGATATTACCACCCCCGATTAACCACCTGCTTCCGCCAATAGGATCCCTTCATATCCTTTTTATCTTCTTTGTCTATTGCTTTGTCTATCAATTTCAATAATCAGCCCGCAGATCGCAGTAAAAATAGTCAAATACCTGGAGCGTAAAGGCAGTTTTACGAATTCGGGGAATGCTCGGGAAATTAAAGGTGCTCAAGCAGCCAGAGGATGACCGGAGTTTATTTTTATTTAAATGCCCCTGTCCCGCCGTCGGAATGGTTAAAATGTTTCTATCCCGCCGGTGCCCGGGATAATTGTCCTTTTTAAAGGACGAATGACGAAAAACAATAGGCCAATAACTCAGAGAAGTGAGACTCTCGGTCACTCGCGCCGGAGTATTTCAGTTCCCACTTTTCTCGCGCATATTTTCGTCCCCCCTCCGCTCCCCCCGCCCGCCGGCCTTTATTCACTTATCTCTCCCCGTGTATTCAGGCCTCCTTTTAATTATTTATCATTTATCCTCATTGTTTATTTCTATTTTTTACGGGCCCGTATATGGTCTGCTCCGGTCGTTGCGCATTGTTTACATTCTCGCCCCCCCCCTCCCCCCGTTCCACCCCTCCCGTGGCCTCCACCACCGGTGCTCTCCCGTCCAGACCGAGTTCAAGTTCTCGCCGTACCCTCCTTGCCACGTCGTGCACTTCGTGATTCCCATGCTGATATTGTAACAGCTCTTATCGTGCCGGTAGTGCTTCTATTTTCCGGAACTTTTGAGATGTTCCTGAATATTTCCCGGAACTTTTGAAATTCCCAAAATGCTCCGGATCTTAAGAATTTTCCGGAAGTTTTCCGGAACTCTTGAAAAACTCTAAAAGGAATCCCGGAACTTTTGACGGTCATGGAGTGGGAGGAATAGGAACAAAAAATTTCCGGATTCTGGAACTTTTGACGGACATGGAATGGGCGCACTTCTGCCGGGTCCCAGTGTAAAGCACCACGCGGGGGTGGTGTTTGACTGAAAGGTAGCAAATGTGTTGCCTCATATTTCGGAAAAATCGAATCTACCATCGTTTACCTTAATAAGTACCCAAGTTCGTCTATAATAGTGCTCTTGCCTTCAGTTTTTTTTCGGGGTACAACACTCCTTCAATCAGCGAGTTATACTTCCCCAGCTCCGAGGCGTCGAAATAGTTGCATGCGAAGTTTGCGCCGATTTGATTTGTTGACATTTTCTGTCGGAGATTTTTCAAGTTTGCGAGTTTTCCAGTTTTTCATGATCCGAACTAAACCTGTTTGCTTCAACAGAATTTAATATGAAGCAAAATCACACCTTCATCTTTATTCTCTCATGCTTTTTTTTATCTTAGCGATCGGAAATACCATGATAAAACAGGGATCATCAGGAAGCGAACCTCTGAAACGTTAGAGATTTTGGCGTTTTACAATATTTCGTAGCTCCTCCCGTGCAAGGATGTAACTACTTTTAAAGTCTCATTGTCAATATAGCAACATGATTTTATAGCTCCTACAAAAATATAGTTATACTTTTTCGCCAGAGGATTGCCTCCAGTTCAGAAGCAACAATTTGCAATTTTAGTTTCCTGAATGGTCTGTTAAAATGCTACGTTTTTCATGTACCGTTACGGGCACACGGAAAAATGCGGAAAAATTGAGGTAGGTAGTTAGGTACTCTGAAAAAACCATGAGCCTTACCCGTTTCGAATAGTTTCAAATCTTAGGGAATGAGAAAGGGTAAAGAGTTCAAGGAAAGGGTAACGCTTGGCATACTTGACAACCCGGTGGGGCCGTGAACTTGGGAGTCTGCGCTTTTATCAGTTTTTTAATCTCCCCTCCGGACCCCGTCCGTCGGCGGGCCAACTTTTTTCCCATTTTGATTTTGATTTAAATTCTTCGCTCTCGAAACTAATTGCCGGGAATGTCATCTCGCCGCGGCGCGGCGCGGCGGAGGAGCTCGGATACCAGCCCGATGCAATGCTTTAAGCCGCGTTTCCACTCGCGGTGCGTGACGAGAAGTTGGCCGCGCCAACGAGTGCAATAGTTTTCAACCATGTAATGGTTGTTCCTACTAAAAAAGCATTTGCGCCACCAACGTCTGTGGCCACGGCACGGACGAAGAGCTTCTTTACAAAGATCTCGGTCACTGGGTTTAAAAGAGACTCTCAGGAACCAACAAAATAGCAGCGACTCCGGATTGGGCAAATGGGGGAGGGGCGGGGGTGCCAACCTTAATTGAGGCCTTGGTTAAAAATATTTTTCTAATGTAATGCACGGGATTGGTATTTTATTACTTGCCGCTTAGTTATTTGAAGTTCGCGGCGATACAAGCGAATGAAACTCATTGTATGTTACTTTAAATAATCGGAATACGACGGCCTCTATTTTATCTTTTTGGATCCCAGGAGCTCCACTAAACCTAAGATGGCGAAGCCAATCAGAGGTGGAACCTCCATCGATTATACTTTCCCTATAATACTGCCGTGCTAAGGAAGAACGCCGTATGAAAATTCGAGAGTTGCCAAATTTTCCTTGATAAAACGTCTATTTTTTTCCTATATTTATGCACACTTTTCCTTGAAATTTTCAGATATTTTACATTGAATTGCGTACGAAATTGTCTACAAATTTTGGAAGATAATATTCGTAATTTTCCCGGTAAATCTAGTTTTTATCGGAGGAAATTTGGCAACGTCTCAAGGCTCATACGGCGTTCTTCCTTAGCACAGCAGAATAGGACTCCAGCAACGGATGGATTTAAAATCATTGCACTTGGCTTGGTCGAACGGCTCCTCCAACTCTACGTCGCGAACTGTCCGTGGAACCGCGCCTTCCTTGTGCCTTATTATGCGCTTTATAATTCTTATAATTGTTACATAAGCTCGGGTGTAATCGTCCTCGCCGCCGTGCAATTCCGAAAATTGAGCCGATGCAGCCTTCTCCCGTTTCGTGCAAGAAAAGCCTATCCGGTACAGATTCGTCCATGGGGTTTACGGGGTTCTTGCCTAGCGGGTCATGCCCGTGCATTCTACGCTGGTGGCTATCCTCCTCATCTCGGCAGTCCAATAATTCTCATGTGTTTTCGCCCCTCTATCTCGGCCGCAATCGCATTTTCCTTTTTTTTCTGCGAGGATCGCGAGTCCTCCCCGCACGTCAGCGCGTTCTGGACGTGTTCGGAGATATTTATGCGGCGGATTTGCGCTGTCGCTCCCCGAGCGATTTTTCATTCGGGATTTTTCCGCGTGAGTTTCGCCATATTTTTCGCATTGTTTTCGCCCGCTTGACCGGCATGCCATATTTTCTTCGTCGCGGAATCATTTCGTGGAAAATTTAAGGTGATTCATCTTCGTCATCTGTTCCTTCAGGCCCGGATACACGCTCGAATTTCCAGCGATTTCCGATCAAATGGTGACTGGTGCGCACCATCTACCATCAATTTTTTGCGGCCTGGAGAAATTTGATGGTAGATGATGGAACTGTGGGTCTCAGCCTTCGTTTGATTTCCACACAACCGTGATTATTTCATGCTTATTTCAATCAACACGCTGTTTAAATTAATTTTAGATACCAATTTAGATAATTCTCGACCGCCATTTTTGTCATCATTTTGATCGGAAATTGACGGAAATTTGAGCGTGTATCCAGGCCTTTCAATATTTTTACCATACTAATGTCTTTTAAGGGTCGTGTGAGTTTAATATGACGGTGCGGGGCCGTCAAAATAGATGTTTTCGCGTTATTTTTTTGTCCTGTTGTTCTCAGTAGTTCTTCAGAACTGATTTAATCCAATTACGATTTGTTTCCGTTTTTCTAACAATTTTCTTTATTTTGTTTGTTGCAGGCATAATTATGGGGGCCCAACGCAGCGACCGGTGATCAACGAACTTCATCAGCGATCAACGGATGAGCCATCGATGGAGGCAGCCGATGGAACCTTTCATTGTTTATTCGCTCCCTGGGTGAAATCCCGGTGTTCCCTAATTCCCTATTATTAGTGCCAGTGAAGGTGATAGCCACCGGTTGGCATGTGTCGCCCACCTCTTTTTCCGGTTGTGTATCGATTGACATCGATGAGTGAAGTATCGAAAAGTCGATGATCTGTGTAAAGCATGATACGATGCCCCGTCGCGATGCGATTGAGTCGTCTCATGTTCCCCCCTCGCGTTTCCGCCGCCCCCTGGGCCCTCTGGCCCGTCCCCCTTCTTATTCTAGTTTATTTATCTCAGTTCCTTTCGTCCGTCGATGCCTCCGAGTTCGTCAAAGGCAAAAGTAAGTCATTTTTCCTCTTATCATTTTTTTCTGGGTAATGAGCAACCGACCTCTACATATAGAAATGGTTAAAAAATGGCTTTTTGAGTTTATGAAGTTCTTTTCTTTCAATTAAGAAATCTCTGAGTAAATGGAAGTTTTTCTACCAAAAAATGTACCTCGTCAAAAAAATTGTTTTTCTTTGTCAAACCATTTCTTTCCAGAGAGAAAATACTACGAATTTGATGAAAATAATAATGCACAGAGAGTGTTGCCACTAAACAGTAAACGACAAGCTAAAATTTACAATTAATCCTGCCTGAATGGTGTCACTGCTGAATTCTACAATCTTCATTCTAATGAATGACAATGATATTTGCGTGCAAAATTCGGAAGAATTAATGAATTTCGATTGTAAGCCTCAAATTTTAAGACCACCGTATTCCTGTCATTCATAACCGTCGTCCGATCTGTAAAAAGAGAATTGCTGATCACTAAATTGTCGCCGGCAAATAAAGCCCATTCTCAGTGTCTCATCTCTAGCTTTGTATGACGAAACAAACATGCATTTTTCTCGGTTTTTTTTTTTTAATTCTCCGCGCGCAAGGTTCACTTTCATCTTAAAAGTTCATTGGTTAGTCTAGCAACGATACTTTCGAATGGCATTTCAGTCTTGCATAACGATACCTCAACCACGACAACACGACGGGCGTTGTACGCTCAAAGTGTGGTCGTTGCGACTGTAAATACTCAGGTGCGGAAGATAGGTAGGAGCATGCGCAGAAGGCTGAATGCCACCATTGTGCTTCCATTTCCCTTATCTCTTAAGTTTGAAGTTGGTTTTGCGCGCCATCTTAACAACATTGTCAGTTGATGACAGAAAACTAATATTTCTTGATGGAAGATTTTGTGCCTCAGTCGTCCCTCAGCAGTAGAAGGAATGGGTGTAAATAAATTTTGAAAAAAAGTAAAAATCCATTAATGAATGAATATTGAGAGTGAATAGTGTGGTATACGAACTCCCTTTGTGGTAATTTCAGAAATTGAACCAGCAGATCGTGATTCATTGTATCTGTAGTATGGTAATTTTATTGCCTAAAATATTAAAATCAGCGGAAAACAACGTTCTTTCCCGTATCATAGTCTTCCCTAAATCACTAAAAAATTAGGAGTTCAATGACGGAAATTTGAATAAAACCCGATTCATTTACTAATCTGTGCCGGGAGCGGCAACATGTGGTTGGTTGGTAAATGTGTTTCTTTGAAGAAGGAGGGAAGAAATCTGAAAAAAAAATGAAAAACGACAAAGCGAAAATAAATTAAATTTAGAGATTAGTTTGTTCCAAAAAGGAAGAGATTTGTTAAAAATATTTAGAGAGTATGGCACAGACACAATTATTCGGATCCCAATTTACTTTTGTACGCACAACAATGTTTAAATGTTTTAAAAATCCAGAAAATAAGTAGACTCCCGCAAAAACATCACCGAATAAGTATTACATTTTACAACATCGCATTTGGTCTCGACAGCTGAGCGAGAGTGAATTTTATCTAACTTAAAGAAAAAAGTATTTTATCTATCAATTGGCAAGGAGTTAATGTTTGTGCAGACTGCTAATTCGAAATCGCACATTGAATCTCTAGTGAGGTTGCCTTTTGCGTCACGGACTAACAGACTGTCCATAAGAAAATGAGCCATTTCCGACCCGTCCGGCACCGTGGATGGCGAGCATTTTACAGGGAAGGAAATATTACGCCACCAACTGCTGAACCACGTGGAGATAGCAAAAACCTCTTCAGGTTAGCAAGTTATTTTCCGGAATTGTGAGATGAGCTGGTTGAGTAAACGATTTTCGCTTTTTTCAACAGTAAACAGTTTTAAGCTTCTAGGAATCGATGTTTTATAAATATCACCGCGCTTCGAAGTCTTGCGCTAGCAACCGGGATCAGATCAGAGTAATGGACACCCAAGGTCCCATAGATCAGGTGATCATGCCGTGGAACAGAATCGTATTTTGATGGCTGGATGCTTAGAGTGTAATTTTCAGAAAATATTGTCAATAGAGAATAGGTTTATCGCATAAAATTTTGTCTCAGCCCGGTCGTTTGTTATCCTACACGGAAGTGAAACTTGACGGATAATATACGATGTCGCAAGATGATTCCCAAATTCTGTCATCGATGGATTCATTAAAAAAAGTGACTTGGTTTGGGCAGAAATATTCCTGGATTTTCCGTTAAGACTTGATTGAACCGTGAAGGTTAGGTTGATTCAAATTTAAAATCCTTTGGAGTAGGTAGGTTTCTGCTCGATTTAAGCGATTATCTTCTTATCTCCGTAAAACTTCCATACTCTCCCTCTAACGGTAACATCAGGACGGCACGAAACAGATCTCCAAAATTTCAGGGCTTGGAATTTTGTAATATAGCAAGATTGTGAGCCTCTTTTCCCCTGGATTCTCGCAGTTTTCCTATTGACAAATTGGGAATTCTTCTTGGCGGCAGTGTTCCCGGGTGCTCCGTGTGCGAGATCCGTACGCTCTACTGCTCTCCGTGCTGCTATTGGCTGGACGTCATTCTGTGACGTCACGCGTACGGATATTTTAAGATAGGGAAGCGTTTTTCCCATAAGGTTTTTGTCCGTACGCGGTCCGTGTCGGTATAGGGAATGTCCGCGCGGCACGGATAAATCCGTACGCCTGGCATCACTGCTTGGCGGAAAATTTAAGAATATTTTTCTACTTAAAATATGTCTCTTTTTCCAGTATTCAGCAGCCTTACATCCGATATGTCTCCATTCTTTTACTCCCCCCTCCCTAAATTTGAGTGCTTTGCCGGAACAGTGGAAAAATCCGGAATCCTCTCATTCGTAATCTTAGCCGCCATTTAAATATAAATACTATCTGATACCGCCGTGGAAATCGATGGCCGCGCTACCGCTAACGGTGCGCGGTTGGCCGATGCAAAAGAATGCGCGATCCCATGACGAGTCGTCATCGTCTCACCGGCGCATGTTACAGCTCCAGCTCGGGATGCTGCTACGTTAAAACCACCCAACTCAAACGGAAATCCTCATCTCGATGCGCGGTTTCTCCTCACCACGAAGCTCCATTCGGATCTTGGCGACTCGGCGAGTCCCGCTGCGCAATTTCACAATTGCGGGTCTTCGCTCTCGCTCGCCTCCTTCCACCATTGCGATGTATCGATTGATCTGACATTTAAACCCATGGAGAAGAGTCGATTTTCTCGGTACACACCTCAATAATCGATTCCTGAACATAGCTTCAAATGGAAAAATTTCGATTGCCAACGATGCTGAGCTATAACCGCAAATGTACTCGGGATCTCTGTTGTAGTTGAGTGGTTTTTCGATGTCAGGGCGGACGCTGCTGTGCTGGCTTCACCCTCGTCTTCGATGTTGCATGTAACGTGTTGTCATTCGATGAGCGAACGCGGGAGTAAACAAGAGCTGCAATTTGAATGGCGTGATGCAAACGCGGCTATGACGTCATAGGTGCAATTAGGGTCTCGATCGACAGGGTACGGAATTCTTGATCTCCGATCTTCAGGTCACGGAGAAAGCCTATTTGTTACTACTTATGTTTGTCAATTTTGCATGTATCCATAGGACTGGAAAGTTATTGTTGGTTAATTAAGGTATATACCTTGCGCAGTCGAATAATAAGTCTGTGGAACTAGATTTTTAGTAGCTGCGACCAAAAAATGACTATTTCGGCTGAGACCGGAACCTTTTATCATAGCATTCATAGCCACGAATCGTATATTTTGTGGAAATTCTGATTTGTTATTGGTTGAACTGATTTTTCAATTTTTCCATTTTTAACCGAACAAGGCCGGCTGTTATAGTATTATAGCGCTCCCAACAATCAAATAATTCGTGGCAGCAAAGGCACCTAAAAAGCTCTTGTAGCTTTAATTGGAAAATTTCAGGTTCAATTAAAACTTGACAGTCTTTCGTGGCGTAACACATTTTTTAAATCATGGAGAATTCATATTCAGTTTTAAAAGGAGAAACCATTTGTTCAAAAAATTCCAGTTTTTTCTTTGTCTGCGTGAAAGAATAATACACTCACGATCAGCAGTTGCATTTAGATGAGATATACACTTTTTCTCTCTCTCTACCACTGGTGGATTGTCCCTCCCTTCCCCTCCTCTCATTTAATGAGAAAAAAACTTGAGCCACTGTATATGAGCTTGAATGTACAGTACACTGAAAAAAAAGTAGTTAGCGTTGAGAACTAATTTGGTAAGTTCTCGCCAAGTAGAATCAAAATTAGGCTTCAGAACTAATTTATTGTACTGAAGCACCAATCAATTCGCTTCATACGCTGACTTGACTTTACTAGAGCGCGAACCAGAATTGGAAAACAGCACTAGCTGTAAAATTAGCGCTGTGGTAAGACAAATTCACCTTCGGGTCAAACTAATTCGCCCTCAACACTAACTGCCACATTGTCCGTTACATTTATTTAGTTTCGAAAAAGTGGCGTCGGTACAACAGCCTCAATCGCGTCAGCTCGTGAAAATCAATTAAAATGTGAAATTTCGGGCTCGTTTGACAATGTAAATACTCCCGGTATGATTTATAGTGTCCTCTCTTTCTTGAAAACGTTCGAAAGCAACATAAATAAACCTGTTAAGGTTAGAAATCGTCTGTTCGATTCAAAACGTAAACAAGCATGATATTCGTTGGAGTCGTCAATCTTCTGTATTAAATTGCGATTAAAGCGTTCCGCGTTCAGTTTATATTTTACGAAAATCTGTGAACTTACTGCTTACTTCTATAGTTCGTGTTCTCCCGTAATTTCAAAAGAATATCTCAAGTGTTCGGACGAGATATGTTTATTCAGTGTGAACATTCGCTACCGTTTCATGTGTGAGTGTGTGTCTCTCTAAAGGATAATTCTGTCTACTTGCACATACCTATGGGATATTCCTTTCCTCTGTCGTTCATTTGGAACCGGTCAGTTGATTTTTACCTCTCATCTTTTAAGAAATCT